CAATCAGAATAGACAGAGCAAAGACAAAGAAAAGAAAGCAACGGTGCTGCAGATAGATATGGCTGTTGACGTTTGTTTGGTTCTGCTTTGGCCTATGGTGGGTCCGAGTTAAGTGGTGGCAATGACTGCGCTGCACATGTTGTCGGACGTTTGCTTGGTTCACCTGGCGGCGGTGGTTGTGTTGCCTTTTCCTCACAGCATGCACATCTACTGGCCCTCTTTCCCCCCGCGCGCGCCAGAACGCCCGCAAGCGTCGCTAGCAGCAGCGAGCACTACGGCGAAAATCGACCTAGATCACCCTCCCTAATCCCGTCGGAGGTATGGTCGGAAGACCTCAGCTGGGACGAAGTTCATCTCCCTCGATCACCGCAGAGGGGGGCAGGGGCGGCAAATTTGGGCTGGGCGACCGAGTGGGATGGTCACAGCGCGGTAAGTACTGCTACCGCCATTTGATGTATGTTACTGTTGACAACGTTTATTGCTAATCTACCCCTGACTCTTTATTATCTCCGTGGAAGCGATGAACATTTGTTTTGCTTTTTCAAGTAAGAAAAAAAAATCAACGGTTACCTGGAAAACGGCTGTGTGACGTTTTATTCAGCTAAATGGCACTACGTGTGCAGATTCCGGACTGATTTGTTTTCGCCACAGAGGCAAGAGACTTTGAACAACTGTAGCAAATGGCCTGGCAAGTAACAAAGGTAAGGCGCCAACAGCGGGAGATAAGACTGCACACAGATTTGGCAATTTTTTCTTCTTGGATCGTTGAGATTCACTGGGCTCTTCAGTGAAAAATGCGTCAGTTGTGTGAGCTGTTCGAGCTTGGGGAAATCCACTGATGGCAGCTGGCAGCTGATTCACACCAGCACATGCTGCTCTCATCTTGCATGACGCCTTGATGACATATGCTCTGATGAGCCCCCTCCGGAGGCGCGCCTTGTGACAGTTGATTTTGTCTTGCCCACGTAACAGGGCACGCCTACGACCCCACCCCGCACGGGAACCGGGGCCACAAGGTGACGAAGAAGCGGCGAGAAGGCCCACAGATGTTGAAACCCACGGTCTGTTCGCCGAAAGGGAAGGAAGGGTGAATGCCAATAGCGCTACTGCTGTCGTCGCTGCAGACCCGTACGAGCAGCAGCAGCAGCAGCAGCAGCAGCAGCAGGAGCAGCAGCAGCAGCAGGAGGAGGAACAGGAGGAAGATGAAGGCTTTGATGCGTGGACGCCGCATCTGGTGTGCTGCACAGCAGTGATAAAATGTGTTTTGGGTTCTGGCGTTGTTTCAATGTCTAGTGCTTGCAACGGACGTCAGCTCGGTAATAACGGAAGCAGCAGCAGCAGCAGCAGCAGCAGGAGGAGGATCAGGAGGAGGGTGAAGGCTGTCGTGCGTGTACGCGGCCTCTGGGGTGCTACCTGAGCAGGGTGATGAATTGATTTTTTCTTGTTCTGGGCACGTTTGCCGCATCGAGCGTTGGAAAGGCACGTGAGCTAGGCAAAACCACAAGCAGCAACAGTAGTGCAAGCAGCAACTGCATCATCAGCGGCAGCAGCTGCAGCAACTGCATCATCATCAGCAGCAGCTGCAGCCAAGAAGAGGATGATGATGAAGGCTGTGGCGCTGAACGTTGCCTCCGAAGGTGGACCATATAGTGCCGTGTCAGACGGGCGAGGGCACCGTGATGTCGGTTCAGCGCTTTGGCAGTTACACCCAACACGGGCGGGTGGACTAGCTGTGAACAACAGGCGTCATGTTGTGATTTGCTCGAGGTCGAGGAGAGGTGTGTGTGTACACGTGCTTCGTGTGTGGGTGTGTTTCCTTTAGATTGGCATTGACCGCGCTAGTGAAAGAGACCTCAGCCGTATAGCGGGACAGTCAACGCGGACACGGTTTTTCTATTCGGCGGGACCTCCCCGTCTGTGTATATCGTTAATCGTTCTTTAGATAGGTAGCATCGACCGCGCTAACCGGCTGACCAATGAAAAGGACGGCAGTCGTTCGTTGCGGAACACTAGTAGTCACAAACGCTCGCTTTAGGTGTTGTTTGCACCCGCATGTGGAAGGGGGGCTTGTGGACGACCCAAAAGGTGGCCGACACAGAAATAAGCTGTACAGAGTAAGAGAAAGGGCTGCACACGTGTATGCGAAGGGGAGTGAAAGTTTCATCGCTGTCGAGGCGCATGTTATTGGTTGCGGGGGCCCCCGTGGGGTGATTTTTTTCTTTTCTGTTCCGGGGGAATGTGGACCTGGGCGTTGAGTTCAGGTGGCGGGTCAAAACGCTTGTTCGGCAGGAAAATGACCCGGTTTTGAAGTCCTGGGACCAACTTCGTTGTTAGCCTGGAACAAGAGAGGAGGGAATTAAGCCCAGCCTAGTTTCGTGTCTGTTTCTCGATGTGGTTTGACTCGAGCTCAACGAAGCGGGACAGGTGTGTTGATAGCAAGCGCCCGCAAGTCTTACTTTGACCAATCCTGGGGGTTGTTGGTTCCTTTTGTGGGTTTATCGGCAGCTACGTTATATAATACCATAGACATTGGGGAAGCAGTTTCAAGTTCTCAAGTTTTGACAAGTATGAACCCTCATGTTCTTTGCTGTCGTGTTCTAAGTGCCGCTGGACCACTGCTGTATTATGATCCGTGCTGGTTGAAGGTACGGTGGTGGCCGTGTGGTAGAGGACTAAGCCCGGGCGATGTTGCCGTTCATGTATATTCTTTTGTGGAATGTTGGCTCTTGCTGTGCAATCTGATGCTATACGTGAAAGTGAGTCGTCGTCATTTGAGTATCGCAAGATCGCGTGCACCTGCCGCTTGGTTTGTGTTTTGTTGTGGGAGCTATCTACCCGAGTCCAAAGTGTTGTTTCCCCCGGGTGCGTGGAAGGAAAAATAAATGTGGGGGAGGTGTTAGTGCTTTGAAAACCTGACTGAGCACTCACGCCAGAGCTTGCCGGCTCTCTCTATCGCCCAGTCCGGCAGACGACCACTTGTTGACATGTTTGCCCCTGTCTTGCGCTGACCCATCCAGTGTTACCTGCCAGCGGGGGGGGGGGGCGAGGAATTATTTGGTGGGGAAAACAATATAGGCCGGGGGGAATCGAACTGTCGATGGGAATAAATTTAGGGAGTGGGTTTTGGACATGCGGGATTTGAGTTATGTGCGAGAGAGAGAGAAAGAGAGAAGCGGTGTGTATTCCGTGGGTCGTGCAGTGTGCCGCTTTCCTACAAAAAATGATTTATCTGTGATGTTAGGGAGCTGGCTCTATTCGTACTTGTAAATTACTTGAGAAAGTTGTGGGATTGATCGTGGTTTTGCTAGGTGTTTCAGTCCTCACGCGCAGATAGCAAACGCCAGCAGCCTAGTAGAATCGTAAGTGTGAGAGCCGAAAGGGAGTAAACCTGTTTTTTCTGTATGGCGGTGGAACCTTTTTCTAGCGCTTAGCATCCAACGAGGCACGACTTTGCTTGCAGAGGAATTTGAACAAGAATGATGGTAGCAGGAACTCAAGCGCAAGCTACACTACTGCTGCTGTTGTCGTTCAACCCAAACAGATAGATATGAAATATATCTGAAATGCCCGCGTAAGACAACCGAGGGCGCCATGGTCCAGTCTACGGGGTGGGTACAAAGGCGGGTGGTACCCTAACGGGGATGCCCAGCAACGTGTCTGGTAAACGGGGATGCTTTCGGTAGGCGCGTGAAGAAAACCATGTTTACTTTGTAAATATTGAAAAGGAAAACAGCGTCGGTGGGTCTCTCTCTGCCAGCTAGTTTGTGCGTTTAATGGCAAGACAGCAACGGGACTTTTTTCTGCCCGAAGTTTGTGCGTTTATTGTCAACGCAGCAACGCGGCGTTTTGGTGACGATGCCCCCCGAGATACTTCGCAGAATACAAAAGGTTCTTAAATGGCGAAGGTGCCGATGACGGGAAACCATTGTACGGTCCCATGCTCCAACCTAGACAACAAACAGTCACGTCACGGCAAATACGTTCTGTCTGGATCGGTTGTGAGCGAGGCGTGACGGACGGTCTACCGCTTTGGGGGGGTCCTTGCGCCAGCAGCCAGTCGCCCTGCGTCCCTTGTTCCGCTGCAACATGCCCTTCACTGCCGCAGATGGATGACAATAAGAGTGCTTATTGTTTCTCTCTCCACCTTTTACCGCGTTGTTGTGGCGAAAACTGGGAATGATGGACGGCTCGTTCATTTCTGGGTAGTTTGGGGTCTGGTGATGGATTCGTGCCGAATCTGTTCCCTTTCAGTTTTTCTCTCCAATTTTACTCGTAGGAGACCGTTACGGTCGCTCGAGGTGTCACCGCCACAAGAAAACAAATCTGTCTTGTCTGTCTGTCACGATCACTGTCAGTCGGAAGCTCCGAACCACGTACATTTTGTCGCCGAACGCCCGAGGCGCGACAAAAACATCCCATGGGCTGCCTTGCAGTGGTTTAGACGCCCTCAGCAAGCTGGAGCTACATTGGTGCCTCTTCCGTTGACGTTTGTCGGTGTCACGCAGCAGCCTCGACCTTGAAACACCACAGGTACAGCACGGTTGCCTCACGCAGGCTGCGGTCCCAACATGATTCTTGTGCCCCCCCCCGTCAGCACACAAAGTACTTCTGCGGTAACATTTGGCGGTGTCTGTGTTTGGCAGCAGTCTCGACCTCGAAACACCCAGGTACAGCATACTAGCACGGGTTGCCTCATCCAAGCTGCGTTGCCAATGTGACTATTGTGAGCAGCATACCACTAAACTAACGTTGCGCACAGAGGGAAGACACCATTGCTGCCTGTTGATGATGACATCGTGGTTTCCACAAGAAGGTGGAATTGTTTCTCGCTTACACCCGCGTAGAGCCTGACACTACGATACATACGGTTTTCGTGTCGCACCAGCTGTAATCGACCAGAAGAAGATCAACCTCAAAATGCATACGCTCTACGCCCCGGTTTGCCGATACATCACACTATCTTCCACTCAGTCCAGGGATTCTTCTATCCTAAACCAACCTCCTGGACACACTTATATGGTCAAGCCGTATCGATGGGTGTGTAGGGTCGAAGCACGCACTTTTTCTCTACGCAACACAAGACATAAGCGTCTCGGAAACCTCCTGCGATACCGCCTCCCTCCCCCTCTTCACACACCCTTACATCATCTCTAATAGGTTTCCAAGATCCACACGAGTCGGGAACTAGGTACAGTATTCTTGCTGCATGTATCAATCATCACATGCAATTTCACAAGTCTCCGAGCATGAGCTTGGCGACGGAGCAGAGGATGAACACCCCTGATACGTCGGTCAGCGTTGCGAGGGCGGGCGACGCAAAGTTCACCGGATCCACCTGCGTACACGCGACGCACGAAGCACGTACGTACGCGTGTAGTATCGGGAGAGGCTTCATTTGAGCCAGGCAGTTAGCTCACCACATTAAATCAGCACTCACAGCATTTCTGCCGGGCGCTGTAGGATCTCAAACCCGTGGCCACAAGTCAGGCAGGGTTACGACCAGGAACAAGATTCGCATTCACAGGCTCACAGTAATGTGTAGGGCTACAGAGTTAGGCAACTTTGAACAGATAGGAACTGTATAACCCGGCCTATCTCCAAAGGAAAACCCGCCTTCTTTTTTTCGGTTCCGTGATCCCATTGACAATACCGTCTCGTTCGCAGTGTTTGCCCACCGAATAGCCTGTTACTTCTCAAAGTAAATATCCAATCCGGGGTCACGCTGAGAGATTCGTCTGCGGAACGTGTCTTCATGCGAAGAATTGCGAGAAAGGTTAAGCAGGTTCCTTCCCTCACATACGTACAAATACCACATTACCAGCTCAGCCTTGCCATCACAATAGAATGCCAACAGTGTTGCGGGCTGAAAATGTCTCCATGATTCACCAGTCCATATATTATGATCCCCCCGTTTCGGCCAGTGCTAATATATACTCGTAGCACCGTATATTGCGCAAGAAAACATACGCCCCACAGCATCATTTATTTTCAAAGGGTAAAAAATGACCCCACAACACAAAACACTACACTCTCAGATCGAAGTAATAGGGTGACATAAGCACCGGAGATACGTATATGTGAAGCCAAACAGTTGCCGCCTGGGTGTGTTAGCGTGTGTAGTGCGCGGTATACATCTCTGTTGCCCTTACCTTCGTAAACCCATACGGACCGATTTTCGAACCTCAATTACCTTGTAGCAATAATATGCCAAAAATGGCGGCGTTGGAACCGTCTCCTTCAGAGCTTTCCGAAAAACGAATAATTTTGGATCTTGGAATCCTCTTCGTCGTGGAGTAGGTACTCACGCTTTCAAAATCGGTCCTGGGGGGGGGGGGGGGGGGGG